GAATGTTTTATACAACCAATTTATTTAGAATTAACAGAAGAAGAGAAAAACAATGCCAAAGATATTTCAACTGCCAAAGAACAGAAAGTATTAAGTGTTGATGTAAACGACGTTAGGACCCATTTACCGTTATTTGAAACATATGTAGGCGGAATGATACCAAATTTGATTCGGTTAAAAAAGGACACTAAAGAGTTGGATGACGATAAACTAACAAATTTTTATAGAAAATGTACAGAGTTTTACATTGAGGCAGCAACCCAAATCAGACGCAGTTTTCCTTTCGATGACAAAGACTACGTTCTTTAAAGTGTTTAAAGATGTTGAACCCACAAGCGATTTTAGACCATAGCTTGAACAAAAAGCAAATAACTTCAATTGCTGAACTGTTATATTCTTTCCCAAGTATTTGCTCGGAAAATATAACGGAATGGGATAGGAAATGGCGAACTCTTCGCAACACCAATTTGAATTTTGACGAAGCTGACACGCTTAATGGGGAAAAATTTTGGGGACACGTTTCCAGATTACAAAAGGGCGATGGATCAACAACATTTCCACTGTTATCTAATTTAACAAAAAAACTTTTGTGTCTACCACACAGTACTACTACGGTAGAACGTTTCTTTTTAAACTATTAATATTATGAAGACGAAACTTAAAAATAAGCTTTCTACGATCACAATAAAGGGTACCTTGCACACAAAATCTAAATTAAAAACTCTTTTGAGTTTGAAGCGGCCAATAAGCATATTGAGAAATTCAACACAAATATGTACGATTTAAAAAAAAAAAGATGAAACAGAAAATCAAGAAGATTTACAAATTGAAAATGATATAATAGCTAATAATATCTAACTTCTTCATAAATATTGTTATATTTGTTAATTTTAATACATTTAAGGAACTCATAATTTTTTTACTATAATTTCTTTCTCATAAACATTTTATTTATTACCACCATTAATATTAATTTTAATATTAAATTATACAACATAAAGGAAAGCTGTAGATAACCGTTTTTTAAATTAATATTTACAGTTTTCTACCGTTTTTTTAAGCATCAATGTAGTTTTACTCTACGATGTCGTTGGCAACACTGCCGGCACAGTACACATCTAGCCGGCTCGTGTTATTTGCAATCCTGCTGAGTCGTTTGTATCTTCGTAGATAAGATTTAAATTAAAAAAAAATCTAATTTTGTGTAAAATTAGTTGAGTTAATAATGGCCGAAGTTGATTTAGAGGTGCTAATAACCCTAGTTCACGATCGTCCTATTTTATGGAATAAGACTCGAGAAAGTTATGAGGACAGAATCCTAACAAGAAATGCATAGGTCGAAATTTTCAAAGAAATAAATGGTGGTTTTGAAGAGTTGGGCCAACAAGAAAAAAACGAATATAGTAATTTTAATATTTTTTTATAGACATAGATTGCTCTTAGCTTTTAGTATAATGAATGCAAATTTATTGTTTGTTTTTTTTATTTATAAATGTTCTATTTTATTTGAAAGAGTGAAGTATTTTTAAACAAACTAATAACACACCATATTTTTAATTTCACATTAAATCTTAGAAAACTGCCATTTTATTGAGCCGATTGGCGTTAAAAAATAGTCCACATAGATTGGGATAAACAACCTATGAAGGTGCGGTTAGCGGTGCAAACACTGTCGTCAAATGATGCAGATGCCATTGATTATTGCCAAATAAATCCAGTTGGATGAGTTTAAGAATTCCTATGCAACAACAAAATTTATCAGAATATTTGACAGGTACATTTTAATAATAATAATATATGTATATTTTAGTAATAATATATGTATATTTTAGTAATAATATATGTATATTTTAATAATAATATATGTTTGTGTTAATTAAATAATATATTTCAGATTGTTTGACACGTTTAACTCAAGGTCTCCGTTTGCAAGAAATTACAAAGCTCCAATCAGAACCAACAATTTATGTATATGGAAACCATTTTTAGATGAAGCCTACCACTACTTAAGCAATATAAGATTACCTTCTGGACAGTTACTAATTCATTCTAGAAGAAAAACACCGTTTACTAGCTATTTAGTGCTAATAAAAAGTCTACTAGGTCTATTTGATATTTATATTAATTGTGATAAACCTATATTAACGTAACTGTTAATCTTGTTATTCAATATAATATACTACCTTGTTATTGTTTTAGCTATTTGTTGACTTACAAATTCAGTCAAGTTCACCTTGAATTATTTTTCTCCGCAATTAGGAATAAAGGAGGGCATAATAATAACCCGACAGCCAAACAATTTGCAGCAGCCTACAAACATTTAATTATACACCATGAATTGGTACACAGTAAAGGAAATGTGCAAACAGATTCTACTTCAATTCTTAATGTTTCATCTTCTAAACCAATTTTTGATCATCACATGACGTTTTATAATTTTATGAAGATGTACAAATTATTTGACGATGTTGAACTAGAAGAAAATGCCTAATTTTTTACATTTATCCAAATATATAGACAACGTAGTAGCTTATATTGGCGGCTTTGTGGTGCGAAAATTGATTGAAAAGATTAGGTGCAGTGAATGTCGATCATTGTTGCTAGAAGAGAAAAATCATAATTTACCGGATTTGGATTTGATATCATTCCAAAACTAACGGAAAGTTGATATACCCTAGCTTGAAAGCGATTAAAGTTTGTAAAAGTGCCGAAAAAATTTGTGAAAGACTGACGAAAGACCGAGAAACACCAGTCGGTTGTGACAATCTTTTATTACATTTAACCAACATTTTAACAACAGTTGTGTTTGCAGATGTACATAAATTTGTATTTGAAAATTTAAAGTATCATGTTTTAGATCAAGACCTGGCTTCCAATCATATAGTTCAGTTAATAAAAGCAATATCATCAGTATACATCAGGACAAGAGTACAACATATAAATAAACGTTTTAATTGAAATGCAAAGGGCCGCTCCATCAGAAATAAATGAAATAAATTAATTTTACTCCATAATCAATAAATATTCAAATGTGCAATTTTTTAAAATTTTTATTTTTAAGAGAAACTGATAATTACCATCAACGCGTTATTTGTAGAAATGTTTTATCCTGTAATTTTTGCCAATTAATATTGTTACTATCTAAGAATAATTCATAACAAATTTAGTACTAAAACATCTCTATAAATAATTTCAGATAACACCAGACATGAAAATCTTTGTACTTATAGTTAGTTTTCAGTTTCTCTTAAGATGTTTTTCAAAAATTATCCTTTTTAATATTATGTCATCAATAATTATCATTAAATGTTCAATGATCAATGCGTTAATATTAAATAGTACTATTAACATTTTTATTTATGATTTTGTTACTTTGTAAATAATAAATAAATAATATTTTCATATACACGTTTCAATTTTTTTCAAATTTGCCGCTATATTGGTACATTCAATATGGACTCTCTGGTTCTTTTCGATGGCACACTACAGTATTACAACAGTAACTAAGACAATATTCGGAAAATGTTTTAATTGTTTTTCTCGTGAAGAAAAACATACCGAGCAATTTGAAAATCGAAAGTTGATAATCGCTTGAAATTGCAGATGGGGTTGAAAAAAGTTTATTTGTAGCATGAATCATAGTATTCATCAAACCATTTCATTTGATAACTCGCTCATAAAAATCGGAAGGTAAATGACAGAGTTACAGCTTGCAGCGTTCTTGTGTGACACCCTGTATATTGGTCAATTGACCGACAATTGACCTAATTATATTTGAGCGTTCAATTGCACAACTCTACTCCTGATCTAGACGAAATCTGCGAAAACATAAAATTTATCTTTCTCCCGCGTAACACAACGGCTCTTATACAGTCTCAGTCAGGATCAAGGTGACATTTCTAATTTTAAAGCTTATTATCTACGCAGGACATTCAAACAACTGTTTCAACATCTCAATGATGAAATCTCAATCAAGCAGTCGAAGGGTTTGTCAATGATTTGGTTCAATACGCAGAAGAGGTACATTTTGAAGGGATGGAGGTAAACGACATTGAAGACATAATTTTAAATCAAGATGAAGAAGAAATTACATGCGATGACTTACTACAAAATTTTACTGCTGCAACTGAAGATGTTACTGAGCATTAAGACACAGAAGACATTACAAAAATTACAAATCAAAAATTTGCAGAAGCGTTTTCATTTATCGACAAAGTTATCGAGATTTTTATTAACCACGATAAGGACGAAAATCAGAGAACTGTAATGAATGCTGTCGCCAAAGCTGTTCAGTGCTACAAGGACCTGTACACTTCACGCAAAATGACTGCAAGACAGCAAACTTTGGATGATTTTTTAAAAACGTAAAAATCTTATTAAATATTTTTATTGTTAGGAATTATAAGGTTATTTTGTTATTACAATATTTGTATTATTTTTTTACTGTTCATATTGATTTTTATAGTACATACATACATTATAAATATTTTTATGATTGAATAGTTTATTAAAATACTCCCAACATTGATCCCAGCAATGATTTTGTATAATATTTGCATATGTGTGCGCATTTCACACAGTGCTTACGACGTCGCCAGAACGAATCTAATAAATTTATATGGTGTCTTATGGAATAATGTGATTCGATTTGCGTTGTTTCGATTTGCGTGGCACTTTACCGGAACGTAACCCCGACGCAAATCGAGACCTTATTGTATATAGAAATCAAATTTCACGCGTGTGTGCCATACTAATCTAGAGGGGGTAGTGTTGCTCTTATTTTAACACAGAGTGCGCATTTCTCTCTACTACTGTTCTGTGCCTGACGGTCTAGTAATCTGGGAAGTGATGGCTGCTAATAAGCGGACTCTGGAGACCCACCAATGAAAGAAGAACAAATAAGCTCTGGACAAGTGGCAAGAAAGGCTACTTGAAACCAAAAAACTTAATTATAAAGCAAACAGATTGGCGAACAGAAAAAAAAAACAAAATGCGAGAAATGACAAAGAGCTTGAACTTCATTAGTGTCAATCTGCTTTTTTTTCGAACTATTTTTATTATCCTATTATACTATTTGATATCTCGCTCATGAAAATCAGAATGTAAATGACAAAGGGGCGTTTTTTATTTGACACCCTGTATATCTCGAAAAGATCTCATCTCAACCTCTTTGACCAAGATAAGTCCTTATAATTATGTGATCAGTTACATAATATGAAGTACATAGAAAATAAGCAGAATTATAAGAAAGAGTTACATTTTGGATACTTTAACAAAATAAATTATCAAAAACGCAGATCCCAAAATGTACAGGTTGCACATACACATGCATTCCACAAAGAATTATTCTGAAGCTCTGTGGCAATTATTCTTTGTAGAACACTAGCGTACCCATCCATAGCACAGCCATGAAAGACTGATTCCTAACTACATATCACAAATATGAAATCATTAAGATACCTCAGCAACATATTGTGGAAATAATATACATTTATGTGGATCTGATAATAACCTACATGTGACAGTGGAAAGTCACATTCAGCATCAATTTTCCTTTTTCGTAATTAATTTGATAGACCTAAGGAAGTTCCATTGAATATTAGACAATATATTTACAATCAACGTGTTGGCCCCATTTTAGTTACACAATGATTGACCATCCTAAATCCATGCAATTCGTCCACAAACTGAAACAAAATGAAAACATGTAATTAATTAATTAACGCGTATTGTAATTCATTAATTTATATGCACTATCTTTTCGATACTTCATAATTATTAATAAAATTATTATTGTGAATGCTTCCACATGGTGCGTAGTAGTAGAAAATCGTAATCAATTATTCAGTTATGTTAAAACTTTTTAGTAGTTTCATTATTAATGTTAATTTAAACCAATCTTGTGTGTGTTGAAAACAAAGATAATATGTACCTGTTAGGTAATTTTGAAAGAAAATAACTTCACCAAGAAATCACGGAAGAAAACACGATTATGGAGAAAGAATTATCAACCAACTCGACAGAAGTGACAATGATTTGTTACACCTGTATTTGTTGTAATTTGAACACTTAAAAATGTCTTTTGTTCAATCCTACCTTTGAAATTGTCAGTTTCTAACTTGCATACGAGTGTTGAATGTTGTTATTTGTATCATGGGGGGATCTCAAATGAATGAAAATTGTAACCGTCGTCAACGCCATCCGATGTCACCGTCGATAACTAATTCTACACAAATTAAAATTTAAACAACCTTTAAGGTGGCTTATATTTCATTTCTTTTTTTTTGTATTCATCTTTGATTAATTAAGTCAAATTAAGTGATGTAAAATTTAAATGATATTGATAAATCAGTTGATATTTTTAATAAGTGTAATTTATAAGTGTAATTTTGTAATTAAGTGTAAAAAAGTGTAAAAAACATTTAAAATTTTTTAAATGATAAAAATGTCGGTTATTATTCCTTACTGTGTACCATCTTGCGATGATAGACATTAAAAGGTTAATTATAAAAATTATTAATTAATACAGCATAATTACTTTCATTCTGTATTTCTAGATATTATTTTCTGACCGACCCTATTATTCGAATGGCTTGGCTCTCTGGAATACACAATTCAAAATTATTTGAATTAATTAATGATAAGCGTCTAAGTAACTATTGTGTTTACCCCAACCATAATGCAACAATGTGCAAATATGTTGAGGAGAAATTGAAAAAGCTTCCTACATTATGCTTACTAGGTAAATGAAATTTTGCATAAAAAGTTTGTTTTTTAATCTATATATGTTTTTTAAATCATTTAGATTTGTAAGAAAAAACTATAAATTGGTTTTTGTCTCCACAAGATCAACCAACAGAAGATACTTCAGGTATGCTGCATGATATGAAATTAATTATTTAGTTTCATAATTCATGATTATATAATTCAATATATACCATATTATACAGGGTGATTCGGGAGGAAATGGAAAGATTTTAAGGACATGTCTAGGAAGCTAAAATAAGCAAAATAAGCCCATATGTTCAAATCCGATTTTCATTTGTTTCCGAGATAATTAGGTTTTTCTTTTTAAAAAGTTAATCAAGTTATGTTTGACAACGTTATCCTATATGACAATTTGAAACAAAATGTTAATTAAAGTGATAGTTGTAATTGTTACGAAATAATAAAAATGCCTCACATTTTCAGTCATAGAGAATATGCAGATATGGTGTTTGTTTATGGTTTTTGTAATGGTAATACTGTTCGTTCAGTAGAAGAGTATCGACGTCGTTTTCCGAATCGAAGAATTCCTAATAGGCAAGTGTTTCAAACTGTTTTTACACGTGCTGGCGAAAGTGGAATGTTCCCAAGTGCAAGCATTGTTTCTGAAAAACAGCAAGGGCTCAGTTTGGAACATGAAGAAAATATTCTGGATGTTGTAGAAAATAATCCAGGGATAAGTACAAGGCGCATGGCAATACAATTTGAAATTCCACAAACAATGGTTTGGAAAACATTAAAGCGGCAAGGCTTAAACGCTTTTCATTTGCAGAAAGTACAAAATCTCCAAGAAGGCGATTATCCATTAAGACTACAATTTTGTCAATGGATTCGTGAAAACAGAAGATTACTTAAATGCATATTATTTTCTGATGAAGCTCAATTTACTCGAGATGGAATTAACAATTACCATAATAATCATCGATGGTCGGACGAAAATCCCCATGCCACGCAAGAACACAATTTCCAACATCGGTTTAGTATTAATGTATGGTGCGGCATTCTAAATGATCAGTTGTTTGGTCCTTTTGTGTTGGATGGCCGTCTTACTGGGGAAGGTTATTTACATTTTTTGGAAGACCATTTAGAGGAAATATTGGACGATGTACCTTTGAATATTCGACAACGTATGATCTTCCAACATGATGGAGCACCCCCTCATTATTCAAATAATGTGAGGAATTTTCTAAATACGCATTTCGGCGATCGCTGGATTGGCAGAGGAGGCCCGCACCCTTGGCCACCGAGATCACCGGACCTCACTCCCCTAGATTTTTGTCTTTGGGGATGGATGAAGTCCTTAGTTTATGCTAGGAAAGTGGACACAAGGGATGCGCTACTAGATCGTATTCTTAATGCTGCGGCGTTCATTAGAGCGAATCATCGTTCACTGAAACTGGCTACCAGGTCCATTTATAAACGCGCAAATAAGTGTATCGAAGTGGGTGGTGGAGTTTTCGAAAATTTAATGTGAATTAATGCTACTTGTTTTTTTGGTTTGTTAGTTTAGTAATAAATTTTGCTTTAATTTTGAAATTATTATTGTTCAAAATATCTCAAACAAATGAAAATCGGATTTGAACATATGGGCTTATTTTGCTTATTTTAGCTTTTAGCTTAATTTTTCCAAAAACGGCTAATTTTTGAGAAAAAAGATAGTAAAGCAAACACTGCCCGTTAAACAACGGGGTTGTCGATCAAAAGTTGGAATGAATTTTGAATTAAAAAAACTTAGTAGGCTTTGCAATCTTTGTCAGAAATATTTGTGACGTTTAAATATCAGTTTTTCTTACTATTATTATTGTTTTTCAAATTAATTTTTGAATAAAGTTCTATCGCATTTACGCTCGTTCACTCGACGTTTCAAAATTTTAAATAAAACAATAATAAAGTAAGAAAACCACTGATATTTAAACGTCAAAAATATTTCTGACGAAGATTGCAAAGCCTACTAAGATTTTTTCATTAAAAATTCATTTCAACTTTCGATTAACAACGCTACAGCTTAACACTTAGTGTTTGCTTAATTAATTTTTTTCTCAGAAAGTATTAACTTTTCGAAGAACATCAGAGAGACAAAAAAATTTTAGAATATTTTCATTTATTTAGATAGATGAAAAATATTTCCAATGTATTTATCACCGTCATAAAAAAAATCTAGACAAAAATTGAACGGGGGTGGTTAAGTTTAGTAACTTAGAAGGGAAGATTGAAAGTACAAATAGGCTCGAAACATGCCCTATTATAAGCTAAACTTATTTCCCAAATTTCATTTTCCTGGTGTTTATGGTTTTCGGAAAAAAAAAATAAACCAAAATTTTTTGCCATCTTTGAAGGGCCGTAGCTCCGCAGGGGAGTCGAAATCGCTCATAGTTTATATAAGAAAGTACCCGTAAAATTGCCTAAAGAATCACCCCCCGAAGTTTGGGCACGTCATTCAGCTAAATCTGCGGACAAAAATTGTTACATCTCATGACTACTAGATTTTTTTATTTTTAATTTATTTTACTGATTGTAGATTTTGTTTAATAAATATTTTCAAAAGTAATCTAAAGTGTACTTTAAATTTGGCGCGTTCGTTTTTTTATTAAAAAAAACTTAGACAGGTTAATCTTAAAAGTATATTCAAAAATAATTAATTGTTCTAATAACTAATCTTGTTCTCTACATTGTTTACATGAAAAAATTTGTGTAAGCACATCCCTGAAGTAAACCTCATTCACGAGCAGTGAGTCGTAGTTTTTCCAAAAACAATTTTGCTACGATGACGAAGACTTTGTCAAAAACATATTTTTTCCGACGAGGAAACAATCACATTGAATGGACAAATAAAAAATCCACGTTGGGCACACCCAATATCCGCAAAACATCAATGTGTAGAGCGAAATAGTACGGGATATTGTCCTGAGTTCTTACTTTATGAGGAAACCTTAACTGGAGGGAGATGTTTAGATTTTTTCAAAACGATATTATAATGTTGTCCCACCTGAATTCCAATGGCAGTTATTCCAACAAGATGGCGCGCCACCACACTTTAATAATCTTTACTTAATCAGTTTGTAACACTTAAGAAATTGTTTAAAATACTTGGTTATCATAGTTACGCATGGCTACTGTTATTTTTATCATGTCAATCAAATTCGAAGAAGTTAATCTTTATAGTAATTTTTCTCGAAAATTTTCTTATCTAACCAATATTAATATTGAGTGTACCAGAGTCTGAAAAAGAATCACTTTCATATTCCATATTAAAAATAATGGACTGCCATTTGAAAAAAATATCGATAACGTATACGAAAAGATTGCAAAAAATTTAAATTTTTAGACCCGTTTCAGGGATTTTTCCATAAACCGTTCATAATGATTTTATCGCCTATATCTGTTACTTTACGGACATACTGTATATTGCATTGTTGTATCGATAAAATGGTATTTGCCTAAAACAAGCTTAGACAGATACTATTTGTCTTGTCCAATAGTATTTGCCTAGACATTTAATGATAAAACTGTAACGAACTACCGTTTGCCTAGGCAGACAGTATCTGACTAGGAAAAAACTATCTACCTGAAATAACCATTTGCCTGCGATACATACATAATTAATTTAGCAAACAAATAAAATAATTCAAATAAACAAAAAAATCTCGTAATTAACTGTGTTATAGGAGGGACCTATATACCACATTTTTTTATTACAATAGATTTAAAAAAAACTACTACTACAATTTTTATAGGAAATATTCTTTCCCCTTTCGAAATAGAAGACTATTTTTTCACACAATAATTGAAATTCATAGGTTCCATTCAAATCTACATTATTCATGAGTGCTTAATGAAGATAGGCAGCAAAGCTTATAACAAAGACTAAGAATGAGCCTACAAACAAGAATCAGATTTTTAGATTTATATTGAAACATTGTAA